ATCAATTATTATTTTTAGATTTCTTAGATAAGAAAACGTAACAGTTAATACAATTTTATGTATTTTATTATCCATAACATTAATTACAAAACAACTTTTTATTGATTCGAAAATTAAATTTGCTTTGTTAAAACACTTTGTATACGTTTATTATGTAGTAAATTGTTGATCAAGTCAGTTTTGTGGTGCAATCTTATCTTTAAATACTAAGCAATATTAGTTTTATAATTTTTTCACCACTTTCATAAATAAATTACAGACAACGCTTAACAATATTAGACTTTTCACAACCATCTAAACTATTAAAAAAAAATTATACATCAGGAAGTTTCCAACGTCCATTTACACAGTTTACCATAAAAACTAAAGTTTCTTTTGTTTTGGGTTAACTATTATTATTGATATCAGCACAAAAATCAATATAACCAGAAAATTTATGGCCTGTTTATTCAATTTTTTTTTCAAATGGCCATTTCATCTTACATAAATGAACACACAATATGTTGACCAATTTTCTGAGCCTCTTTTATTTTGCTATGAAGAGTAACTAAAGCTTCTTTACAAAATCCAAGGAAACAGTCAACACTTTTATGCCATTTTGTATAATTTCAGGATGAAGAAGTGCATTACTAAATGTTTTCCTAACATAACCATATGCTTTAGCAGAATAAAAATTTAATGTTAAAGCAAGGTTGTTAACAAGGCCAAAATTAGCAAGGACATGGCCAAAGCCACATGTTACAAGGCTAAAGCCAAGACCAATGCCAAAAGTTACAAGGTCAAAGCCTGGAATTTTAAAGTCAAGGCCAAGAATAAAAATATTTTCAAGCCCAAAGACTTGAATTTTTGTCTAACGTTAAGGTCAATTATTAACAAAACTGTAGGTAACAGTTCCTGTTACAATAAACCACATGTTGTAAAAATAAACCAGGGTTATGCCCAAAATTCTATGAAGTCAATAAAAAACATACTTGTGTATATGTATGAAGCCGAAAACAAAAATACATAAAAATAAAGAATGAAATTTTTTAATTCTTCAATTTTATGTACTTTTTTTGAAGACCAAGGCCAAGACCAAGACCAACAGTTTTAAGACCAAGGCCTTAAGTCAAGGTCAAAGCCTAGGACTAACAACTTTGTGTTGTAGCAAAGCTTCATAATTCTGGTGGGTAATGCTTTTTAACTTTTCTTGTAAAATCCGACAATATAACTGTTTTTTAGACTCAGACATAGCACCCTAAAATTAAATAGATTAAATAAAAACATTTTTAGTTACAACATCATATTTATACTTGAAAACCCAATCAAGTAAATTAGGGCATCGTTGATTGGGGTATCAAGAAATAGATGAAAATATCACAATAGCATTACAATCATAACAACAATTATTACTGTTACAACAAACACAATAATTAACTTATTGCTATTCTTACCGTAATTGTGATGAATTAAAATTTTCCTTAACTGTTATCTGATGATTAATGTAATAAGTTTTTAATCATAAAAACTTATTAATTTAAAACCATATTTTAACAGTAGGTTGACTAAAACAAAATATTTCTAAAGGTATAACTTAATAAGAAATAAGAAACAAATATTTAAAATAATGAAATAAACAAATAAAATAAAATATGTTCAACAACTACTCTTAATAAAAATATATATTATACCATTAGTGTAATTGATACTTCTTCGGAAATCATAGTATGATTCATGATTTTGATTCATCTTATGATTTATACTTTTTGATTTAAAATGATGAAGGTATGAATGTAAGTCTTTAATCTTTTTTATTAAACAACAGTTGGATTGCCGAAGCATTTTAATTGTATTTAAATATATTGTTTACCATTGGTGTTAGGATTGATTTGACACTTTTCAACAATGTTTTTAAAACCATAAAGATATTATTGTCACAAAAAGTAAACTCAAACATTTACATCAATATATGACAAAGTATGTCATTGTAATGTATTTAAATTAGATTTACTGTATTAAGTTACTGGTAATATTATTGTTAACATAAATGATATAGTTATCAACATTGTTCCTAAATATATATATATATATATATATATATATATATATATATATATATATATATATATATATATATATATATATATATATATATATATATATATATATATATTTACGAACAATAATGTTGATAATCATACCATTAATGTTAACGATATCATAGACAATACAATACAGTAAGTCTAATGTCAGGCCTTGCGATAAAGCGTCGGGCGATGTGAATTTTACGTCGTCCAAGAGCGATTTTGCGTGTAGCTAGGGCTATTTGCGTCGAGCAAAAAAATTTTTGCTTGAGCATATTTAAAGATATTTTTGAGCGGAATTTTAATGAAGTAATTTACGAATATTTTAACATTTAATAAAGTATTTTAAAAACCGCACGCAGTTGAAAAAGTTTGAATTTAAAAAAATTAAATATGCTCATTATTTACAAGTAGAAAAAAATCAAAAATTAAAAAAAAAGTTTAAATCTTTTAAGCTAACATTTAATTAAAATTATCTAACATTTAATTAAAATTGAACAAAAATACTTTCTTTTAGTTTTAGATTTTAAACTTAAATAATTATTTTACGGGGGTTTGTTAGGATTTAAAATTATTCCATAGATTTAAAAATATTTATTAACTGTTAGACGTATTTAAAGTATTTAAGAGTAATTTCGAGGAAACATTTTAAAAATTGGTGAGGGCAAATAAAAAAATAAAAAAGGATTAATATTAAAACGTATTCTACTTGATTCAATAAAAAAGTGCTGTTATTAAAATTTTTGTAAAAAGTAACTCAAAAAAATTACTTAAATAATAACGATCGCTTTTATGTTAAAGGTTACCGAAACTCAACGAAGCGTGCTCAAGAACAGCTGCTGAAAAATAGAACGTCAATAGTTTTTCGAATAATTTTTAAGAATAATTTTTTCGCTGAAATATTTCTTTTATTCCTAAAAAATTTTTATTCTAACATATTTTTTTTTACTAGAAATAAAATTCCTTGTTAACATTAAAAATCTATTCAAAACGTTCGTTTAAGTTTTTTATTAATACGAGTGATTGTGCTTATCAACCGCTTTATGAAAATAAATAAAAATAAATAAATATTATATAAAATCGCTTGTAAAAATTATTAGCTATTGCACAGTTTTTAATCGTACAATATTAAAATTTCCACGCTGACTTTTTAAAAAGAAAAAATAATAATTTGAAAAACTTTAAATTACATATTTAAGAAAAAAAAAATCAAATATTAGCATATTTTATAATCTTTTTTAAATTTAAGTTATAATGTTTTTTATTCGTTTAGTATAGACAAAACGTGACAAACGTCGAGAAAATAAACAAATGTTTTTACATTTTAAAAAACGAAACATTCCAAAACATTTTTAAATAATAACATTTCTACATAAACGATTTAAAGTAGTTTTGCGGTAATTAAGTAAATTGGTGCTGTTAATGTCGATAAATATGAAAAGCAAATAAAAAGAATTTAATGACGTCAAAAATCACGTCGTGCTTATGCGTCGCGCTGTTCTTATTCATCGCAAGGCCTGTAATGTATATATATATATATATATATAATCTATATATATAAAGTCTAATGTGTATATATATATATATATATACATATATATATATATATATATATATATATATATATATATATATATATATATATATATATATATATATATATATATATATATATATATATATTATATATATATATATATATATAGGCACACAATATATATGTTACAAAAACTAAACTTAAAAGTTTTAAATCAATATATGTCATTGCAAAAAGATTAGTTACATTAGACTTACTGTATTTGAATCATTGGTGGTAATATTTGAAATAATTCTTTGTCTATATTTTTTGGTAGTTTTCTAGAATAAACACTTTTTCATAAAATTGTTGGGAAATTAAATATAGAAGAAATTGCATTTTTTTTTTAGTTTCTTTTGTGAACTAGAAAGACTTCCTTTATACCAGTGAAATATTTACCACCAAATACCAAATATTTACCATCACTCCACATAACTTGTATCCATTTTTTCCTCAATTCCATATCTTTCAGAAAACTACCAACAAAAATAAGCATATTAAAATAATATGCTATTTAAATTTAAAGTATAATGTAGGATTTTAGCAAATAATGATTTGTAGTTACTTACACATGAAAAGAAACCCTTTTAATATATCTTCGAGTGCAATTATATGCAAAACAAGATAACATCACGATCTTTATATATCTATATTCTATTTGAAAATCAAAATTTAAACAAAATAATATACATAACAAATAATAAAACTTTAAAAATGTTAAATACATTCACCCTAAACCGATATTATAAATTGTTTAATGCCCAAACGTGACGTCACGCGCTAAAAGATGTTGGCTTCAAAGTTGTGTGAATATTAACTTGCGGTAAGGCGTGTCTATCAGTTTATATGGTCGAAGGTTTTACGTTTTTACTACCGGCTGCCGGGCATGCAGACACGGCACTTAATGATTGGGAAACGTTAAATCCAATCCGTCAAAGAGTTGTTTGAACAGTTTTTGAAAATTCTAGAACCGATCACGGCATTTACAATGTGATATAAATGTTATCAAATTAATATTAAATACAAATATTATTAATAATAACATAAATAATTATAAATATTAAATACAAGTGTTAGTGAATGTTAATAAAAATCTCAGATTTCTATTATTTTTAAGTACAACTATAATTCCGTTGGAGATCGCTTAGGTCGATTGCACTTTGAAGGATCGGATTTAGTGTTTTCCTTAATGATCGTTAAGACAATAAAGTAAAGGCCGTTTTCTACAAGACGAAATCTTCGCGCAAAGCGTCGATAAGCATGCGCAGATAAAACATTTCTGGGAATTATTGCCAGAAATGTTTTATCTGCGCATGCTTATCGACGAAATGGAATTTTTTTCCAGAAATGTTTTATCTGCGCATGCTTATCCCTTCGCGCGAATATTTTGTTTTGTGGAAAACCTTAAAAATTAATATTTTCATATTACTAAATAAACGTTTGGCGAAGATTTAACTTATAATAATAAATTAGGTAAGTAATTCAATAATTTTAAATTCAAAAAAATTATAATAATAATTATAATTTTAAAAATGACTCTAATTGATTTAAAGTTCAACGTATTGAATAAAAACTTTATTCAAACTTACAATCTTACTAAAAATTCAATCGTTTTTTTTTTTTTTTTTTTATGTTGTAGTGTTTTTTATGGTTAAAAATTACTGCAACTATCCAACAACAAAATCTGTGAAGTAGTCCAAGACAATTTAAACCCTTTTGTTCAAGATCATATGTATTTTTTTTTTTTTACTTAAAAAACATCTGTCAATATCATCTGGAAATTCTATGAACACTAAAAAAGTCTTTAGGAAAATGTTTTAGGAACATCTAGAAATTTTTTCTCTAATAACATTTTCCCAATAAAATTTGGAAGAATATCCTCTAGGTGTAGTTACATCTGAAAAAAGTTAGATATGTAACTTCATCTGGTTAAAATAATTTGCCATTATTTAATAATTTTTTCCTGATGTTATTAAATCTTAAAAAAATTCTGTAATTGTTCTTTATATAATTAAAAAAGATGTAATTTCATCTGTAAAATCTCCAGATATAGCTATATCTGAAGATTTTACAGATGCAACTATATAGTTGCACAAATTTTGTTATACTTAGATAATTGAAAATATGTAACTTCATCTGTAATATTCATATATTTTTTACACAAATGTTATTAAACCAGGGGCAAGTTTTGACACTCGCTAAAGAGGGGGCTAAAAAGGTCAAAAAAAAAAAAAAGGTCCCTATATTTTCATTTTTAAGTAACTTTCTTTTTTAATTTTTTGTACTTTTTTGTAATAATCAAGTTCAAATACGTATAATTACGTATAATAGTCAATTTCATTATACATCAGTGTATTTACAGATGTTGTCATACAGATGTTATTTCACCTCATTATATTTACAGATGTTGACAGATGTTATTTAACAATGTTAAATACAAAATATAATACAAAATAATACAAAAACAGAAACACAAAAAAAGGTTAGGGTAACAACATCAGTTTTTGCTATGTTAAATTAACATAGCAAAAACTGATGTTGTTACCCTAACCTTTTTTTGTATTTCTGGTAAATCAGGTTGATAGCTAGTGAAACTTTACTTAAAAAACTATACATAGAAACTATTGTTACAAGCGTGTGTATCTAATCTTTAGGTTTGTGGTTGCCTAATAGAAATTTAATTTCGAGATGACAATTTGAAATCAACTCTTTTTTAAGAATAGAAGTCAGGTGTTTCTTTGAGTTATTCCCTAGTTTGCAATATATATTTTAAGAGTATGGTTGCATTTAAAAGTTTTTTATTTTTAGATGATTGCTTATGATTTGCTTATTTTGATTTCTACACACACTCTGATAAACTAGTGTTTACTTTGCTGGGTGTGTTTGGGAAAGATGTTATGCATTTTTAAATTATTTTTGTCATTCTACAATATTTATTCAACATTCAGATTTTGCTTGGTTCTCTATTACTTTTTGAGTTTATTTTTTGGTTGTGGCTTTTTTTATCAAAAAATATTGTTTGAGCAGCCATACCCAACCGGAATAGTGTTTTGATTAAATAGTTTATGTAATGGGTTTGATGGTGGAAATATATCTATTAGTTACAAAATAATTTAGCTTACGTTGGTGAGACACTTTTATTGTAAGATGGGTTAAACTAATTTATTTTTTTTCTTTTGGGGGTGTCTTGTTTTTTGGGTTGTACCTTAAGTTAAAGTCAGTCAAACTATTCAAGTGCTGATTTACATGATTTAATAAATTTAATAAATATTATGTGTTTTGTTAATAGATTTTATTGTAAATTCTTTTAATCAAAATCTTTGAGCTTTGCAGTATTACTTATTACTTGTGCTGCCAATTAAATTTTTTTAGCTTTAAGTTAGCTTTTTTTTTATTTGTAATTAAATATTGTTATGGTCTTGAAACAATGTTTTTTTAGCCAATTAAACAGTAATGATTTTTAGTTATTTAATATAATTTTAGTGCTAATTTAATAGTTTGGACTTTCTGCTGCAATTAATTTCAATTTTAATCATTCCCTGCCATTCCTATCAATCAAATGTAATTGACCAGAACTGATTGTATGAAATCAGAATGTTTTTTTTTTTCCAATATTAGTGGAGCAGTCATCGTTGATTGGGTGTTATTTTTAACCTTTTTTCTCTCTCATATTTAGTATTCAAACTAATATCAAAACCTCTTACATATAATACCATTTTTATCATTTATGCATTAGGATGTATAACCTTTTCAAAGTGTCCTTTGAAATGTTTGTGTATATACATTACATTATATATACCTGTTGTTTTGCAAATAAAGTTATTGCATCAGCCAAATATATACAAATTTAAAATTTATGGTACTTTTTATTTTATTAAATACTAATAAATTTATTTTTTACAACTAATTATAGATAAACTTGTTTTTTATAGAAAAATTATGGCTTCAGATTCTGACTCTAATGAAAATGGCACGGAATCTAATGATTTGTTTAGTCATGATTCACAATCACAAAAATATATTTGTGCAGATAGTTTATCAGCTGAAAACTATTTTTTAACTAATGGTTCTGATAACAGCATTACATCTGATGTTAATCCTAGTGATAAAAATAAGTTGCATATGGAATCCAAAGCAGGTAATTTAAATATCTTTATATAATGTTTTATTTATCAAGCAGGTTCTTGGAGAAAACAGTTAAACTGCAGCTGTTTTTTAAATCGTCCTAATATCAAAATTAATTTTGTTACTAAATAAGCTAATATGGATGATAATAAACATTATTGAATAACTATTTTTAAAAAATTGTGAAATAGTTATAAAAAACCACTTTCCGAAAACTGATCAAAAATTATATCCAGTTAACCATTCCAACTGGGTCCCAGCTGGGATCCAACTGGGGATAATGCTGGGACCCATCTGGGTATCCCACATGGGTCCCATTATGATTCTGTTGGTGGGATCCAACTGGTTCCCATCTGGGATAAGTCTGGGTTTTTGACGGGAAATCCCATGATGAACCCAGATATTTTTTTCATTTACTGTGGGTTTTAATTTTTTATAGTTAGTTTTTCGCAGAACTTTTATATCTCAAATCTGCGAAATAATGTGATAAGTTTTTGGTTAAAAAGCGTTGCATTTTTTATATAAGTTAAAAAGTAAAGTTATTTATATTATCTATATTAAATTCGCTGTCAGGGCAATAAAATGTATCAATAAATTTATTTATTGATAATATTGTTTAGGGCATACCATGCAGTGTGACATACCCTGCCATATCTTGCATATAACTAACAATCACTAGGCAAATAAAAATAAGCATACAAATCACAAGCTAACTCAATACAGTATATAAATCAATATACGAGTTATAACTAAGATAACCATAGCCAGATTGAAGTCCAGGCCCAGGTCAGGACAATTAATTATTTTCAAGTTTGTTACAAAAATAACAAAAATTAAAATTAAACATAACCTAAGTAATAAAATACAAAAATAAATACTTTAGAACTGAAGCCTGATATGATACCATAAATAACAGTGTTTCAACTTCTCCAGTTGCCATCATCTAGTTTTAAATTTTCTTCAGTTTTTCTTTTTAACAGGCATCCTGCAGGAAACCTAAAACAATGTTATTTTATGGTAAATGTTTGATTTTATGAATTCGGCATGACATAAATAGACTTGTAAACAACAATAATATAACATGACTACTATGTTACCATTTAAATTTCAAAGTCTATACTCAAGTTAACATGAAATCAAACCCTTAAATCAGTTGGTGAGGGTTCAATATCCTTGATATAATTTAATAAATGCAAAACTAATCAATGTCACTAACATTTTGATTATATCTAATTAAACAATAATCGTTTTAGGTTACATTATTACTTGAAAACAATTATTTGTTACAATTTAAACATATTGAAAAAAATTAAAACAATTTTAGTTTTGACCACACTAAATTTTGTATTAAAATTATTTTCACAATGAAAGTTTACAGTTATAAACAAGTGTAGAGTACTTATATAATTCATAAATAAATAATCTTCATTTTGATCTACTTCATTTGAATTTATAATATTGGAATTAATTTTTTCTAATGTTTTCACTAATGTTTTATCAAATTTATTTCATTAACTCCATTTCCTATTAATTTCAGGGATTAATCCTTAATATTAATAGGAAAAATAAAAAAGTAAGTTATCAGAATCTAATTTTTCTTTTTTTTTCCTTTGTACTTGTCACTTGAATCAACTCACACACAAGAATTTATTCAATCTTTTTCTTCAGTCACATCTTCAGGTAAATTATTATTTAGTTAATTTAATGGACAATGAATAATTTCAACTTGCTCGCCTACCATGTCAAAATTTTCCACCAAATTTATTGCTTCTAATTTGGAATTAGAAGTTTAACAAATATTGGAGTACAAATTTAACAAATATTTCACGTTGTTTAATAAAGGTATTTAGCCAATCGAGATGGAGAAACTGAGTTGGTACTGAATTACTTCCAGAACCTGATTGGATATTTTTTTTAGCTTTTAACCACCTTCCATAACTACTTCAAATGCTTTTATATTTTTCTTTTGCTTGATTAGGAGTTAGGTTTGACAGTCGACCAGCTTCTTCCTATGCATTTTTCTTTTTGAATTTGTTTTTAAATTTCTTACAAACTTGTATATATAATAGTTATAGTCAAACATAACGTATTTCAATTATCGTGGACCAAAATTTCTTGTTTAATTTTATGTTGTCTTCGAGCTACATTTTGTGATTTTATGTTAAATTTATTTCACAGCAGATTCTAAAAAGTATACATCACCCTTATAAACTGGTTTAAAAAATCATTATACATAGATAACTTTTAAATTTTACTACATTGTGACAATGGCAACAAGTATTGATGACAATACATGCTACCATAAAACTTAAAAAATTGACTATTGAAATCATGTTGCATGAATAACATACATGCTTTACCATATATAAATATTACTAATAAATATTATTCTACTAATCAATAGATAAATGAAAATAAAAATAAACTACCATTAAGGCACCAAATGAAGTTTTTGTAAAAAATCCTTCAAATGTATATTCATTCCAAATCATGTCACACTACTGTACATGTAGTTTTTAAAAAGTTTTTATCATAAATATTCATAAACTTTTAATGAAAATAATGTAAAGCAAACTATTCTTGATCAAAAAATATGTGCTATTGTAATAATATTCACATTTCCTAGCAATTCACAGTCCATCTTCTATTTACAGAATTTACCCATTTACAGAAGCCCAGGTCAATAATAGAAAAAACCTGTATATTTTGCAAATTCCATATATTTTTAATATACAGAAATTATTCTATTTATTTTATCAAACTCTGTAAACTAATAGTTTGAGATTATAAAACTCAGGGAAAGTAAAAATTTCCTGAACTTTCTGAAACAAAAATAAAAATAGTAAACTTACTAGATTTAGATAATCATTTAATAGGAGATTTTACATAACTTTTATGTGTAAAAAACTAACATTTGTTGAAGTAATGTATTTTCTGTTGTTATTCATAAATCAACATAAACCAACTCTGAAAATAAAACATAGATACCATCGAACCTCTTAAATAAATTTAATAAAATTTTATTAAAATTTAAGATTTAATAAAGTTTTATACAAAAATAACATAAATAAAAAATGTATTACCAAAAAAATTTGATATCTTTTTTATAACTTTGTAATTAAACATATTATATATGACTATATGATATCATATAATAACACAATGAAATTGACTTATTATAGCAAGTGAAAAATACAAAACATTCATGATTATTCAAACATTTAGTTTTTGCAATATATAGTATCAAAACTACATTTTTAATTTTATATTGTACTTGAGTAGCATTTTATATTTAATTTATTTCACAAAATATTTTTAAAAAATTATATAACATCCTGTGATAATTAATTAAGAAACATCTTAAAACTCAACATTTCCCTTTTTTATATTGCCAAGTTGTTTCTTAAAGAAATATCTGAATATTTCTATCAAAATATATACACTTTTTTATTTTAAAGAATTTTAAAAATGTATTTAATAAATAAATATATTCAAACAAAATGTAATGTTAGGTGTTTTAAACATTAAAACACCTAACAATTTTTGTTTTTTTTTTCATATAAAACCTTATATTATAACTTACAATATCAGTTACAGTATTTATAATATAAGAAGTATATTATTAATTATATAACTTATAGAAAATGTAAAAATTTATGTATTTATAAATAATATGTTAGGTTTAGATATAGCATTGTTACTTGATAAAACCTTACCATATTTTGTAAAGTGACATTGAGATTTGCTTGAAAAAGATAATTTAAAACAAAACGCACTACTTATTTGTATACTAAGTATAATAATATGTAACTTATATGATTATGATAATATATAACTAAGTTACAGTGTATTATGTTTTCTTAACTTAGTGACTAAGCAATAACTGTGAGCACACCAAACCATATACACCAATATAAAAAATTTTCAACAGTCTATCGCATAAAAATATAAAAAATATGCCTTCAGTTAGATAAAATATTAAAGTCTGTGAAATAGTAAACATTGACATACTCTCAAACTTATTAATGGCCATGAAATTTAGAGCATTTATGAATTTTAAGAGTATGCCACATTTTTTTTTTTTGTATAATCGTTTGTTAAATGAATGTTAAAGTATTGCTATTAAAATATTTATACTTTTCTTATAGAATTAAAACTGATTTGTATATAATTATTTTTTAAAAAAATACTAAAAATCAACCAAATTAAGTTCCTGTTCACTCCAAATGCAACTTTATATATTATTTATAAATGCATAATTAAATAATAAATGTAAGATTTAAGATTTTCTATAAGTTACATATTTGATTAAATATTACTTATACTATAAGAAATATATTTTTTATTGTTTAAAAAATATTTAAAATCTTACATTTAATAAATTTATGATTTTAATTTTTTTTATAAGTATGTGAAATGTACATATTATTTATAAATACACTATTTATTGAATGATTTATGTAAAAATAAATAATATCTAAAGTTTACATATGGCAGTGTTATATAGTAAAACTTTGCTATGTTTTGTAAAAAAAATTTGTCAAAGTCACTTTAGAAAACATACCAAATAGCAAATTTAAGGTAGCAAATTCAAAGGTTTTTCAAAAAGTCTTTGAGATTTGTTTGAAAAAAAAAATTAAATTAAACACATTAAGCCATTAATATAAAAATTTTCAACATTTGTATATTGCATAGTTACAGTATATGCCTTCAGCTCGATAAAACATTTTACAAGTCTAAAAAAAGGTAAGCGTTAACATATCTCAAACTTAGTTCAGAACATAGCTCAGAAATTCAGTCTGAATTTCAGTCTAAAATTTCATTTCTCAAATTTCTTAAATGCAGGGCATTTAAGAAATTGGAGAGCATGTCATTTTTTTTTGTGTGTAAAATCATATTTTAAATGGATGAATAAATATTGATTTTAAGATATTTTTACTTTTAGTACAGAATTAAAACTGATATGTAAATATTTTTAACAAAAATACAATAAAAAAAAACAAATGAAGTTCC